CCAAATTTCTTCATTCTAGGATTCCCGGGCTGGGACTCTGTCACAGATTTTGAGCAATGGTGTTATAAAACAGGGTGACAAGGCTGTGAATTCCAACACTGCATCAAGCTGGGAGCTGGGGTCCTAATCTGGTAGACATTTTTATTTTATTATTTTTTTCCTCTTTTTTTGTGTGCTTTGGGTGTCGTCCTCCCCCCCCTTCCCGCCCGCCCATAAGCCTAGTATTTCTGGAGACATACTTACAATGAGCTTGGGATGTCTGTTTCCCAGGGGACAGAGTTACTGGGGTTTAAATCAGCCAGGATCTTGCTGTGTAAGGGTAAGGGAATTCTGACATTTGAGACGTAGTAGGGAGAGAGCCCTGGGAGGAAAATGTGCGTGCGTTTCTTTATGCTCTGTTCCCTTCAGAATCTGCCTGTGGCGGCATCATTCATAACTGTCTCAGCTTTCCCATGATGTTGTGAGCATTCCGAGAAAAGAACTATGCCTTGTGTATTTTCCAGCAATAAATGGCATCGGCAGTAAGGACAACAGATAATCTTTAGCACATGCCAGCTGTTGTGCTGAGTCCTTTATAGGTGTTGTCTTTTTTGTTTGTTTGTTTGTTTGTTTTGTTTTGTTTTTTCGAGACAGGGTTTCTCTGTGTAGCCCTGACTGTCCTGGAACTCGCTCTGTAGACCAGGCTGGCCTTGAACTCACAGAGATCCACCTGGCTCTGCCTCCTGAGTGCTGGGATTAAAGGCGTGGGGCCACCACCGCCCGGCTGTAGGTGTTGTCTTAATAGTCGGAGTGATACTGGATGTTACTTTACACTGGGGTTACTTCAGAGTTTCACTGGGCTAAGTAATACAGTCGGGGTTGGGGCCCAGAGTCGCTCAGCTTCAATGCCGATGTCTTTGGTGGGTAGATTGCCCATGGTTCTTCTGTTGCCGGAAGTTTTCCTGTGTTCTGCAGCCGCTCAGTTCCAAGTAAACACACAGAGGTTTATATTAATTACAAATTGTTTGGTCTATGGCTCAGGCTTCTTGCTAGCTAGCTCTTTCATCTTAAATTAACCCATTTCTATTACTCTATGTTTAGCCATGTGGCTTGGTACCTTTTCTCGGTCCAGCATTCCCATCTTCCTTTCTCTGCGTCTGGCTGGCAATTCCGTCTCTGCCTTTCCTCTTCCAAGGCTTCTCCTAGTCTTGTCACACCACCTACACTTCCTGCCTGACTACTGGCCAATCAGCATTTTATTAAACCAATAGGAGTGACAAATCTTTACATTGTATAAAAGCGTTCTCCCACAGCAGGCTTCCATGACATATGAGTTAGTGTCAGGAACCAGCTGGGCTCTAAGCATCATGAACCACCCTTCCTAAGAGACGGCTGGGTATAGAAAAGGTGTTGTACTTTTGCATGATGGTGACCAAAATACCCAATAAAGCTTAAAATGAGGAATTTCCTATTTGGGCTCCTGTTTCATGAGCTTTAACCCACCATGGCTGAGAGTTTGTGAGAGAAGAAAACAGTTAACATCATGAAAACCAAGAATGAGAGGGGTGGTGGTGCCTGTACTATGCTGGGTCAATCCTTTCTTTTCTTTTATTCTGTTTGGACCCCGATCCCAGGAGATCATTCAGAGGGAGTCTTCTTCCATTAGTACACCTCCCCCACAGACATACAGGTGTGCCTTACCAATCTCCTATGTGACTTTCCATGTAGTGACCTAGTAAAGATGAATTTCATTGATATGATTGAAAGAAGAGTGTTCTCTGCACTTCAGAAACACCTACAGGCATGCATTTCTTTCTGTCATCTTCAAAGGAGTGAGGAAACTTCACTGTGTACCTGTTCAGGGGAATGTGCCTCCTCCTCCTCACCATTGTGCAAGTCTGGCATTCTTCCACCTTCCCCTTTTGACCTACCGAGGACAGGAATCCATATTGTTCATAATGCCTTAGAACCTGGAGACAATGGAAGAGGGGATTTATTGTTAAATTTGCCAGGATTGTGTTGAAAAATCATTGCATGATAAGGGGGCCACAGAAACGTTATTGAACCATAATTGGAAATACTGTGAAGAAAAGATTTGTAACATGTTGGGCAGGGTTTAGGGACAAAATGCTATTCTATGATGGATAACTGTGGTGTCCTAAAAGACAGAAATCAGGGCCATGGGTTGATTCTCCATCTGCTGCTTATCTTTTAATCCACGTTGTTATATACTGTCTGACTCAATGGATTTGATCTTAACTTCCTTATTGCTAAAATGGAGGTAGCAAATAACAGTTGCTTATAAAAGTGAGTATTAGGATGGGGAGATGGGTAAAGGCTCTTGACCCAATCCTTAGAACCCACAAGGTAGAGAAGGTGAATTGATTCCTATGAGTTGTCTCTGACTTTTGCACCTGTGCCAAGATGTATGCAAACATGTGTGCACACGAGCGTGCACACACACACACACAGACACACACTGACACACCACCCTAGAGGGGGGGGGAGGAGGAGGGGGAGGAGGTGGGAGGAGAGAGAGAGAAGGAGAGGGAGAGGGAGAGGGAGAAGGAGAGACTGAGATTGAGACAGGACAGAGAATAAATTTTTTTTAAAAGGTAAGTATCACCCCAGTTTATATGTGGGAAATCACTGTAAATCATAAGACTATTGTAAAAAACCAAAACCAAATCACTTCTCCCCTTGTTTCCAGTTTCTAAAGCATTACGAACAGTGTGGATTCCTGAAGTTGATATGCCAAAAAGGAAAGAGGAGAGAAATTCCAGGCATGCACAGCAGTAAGGAGGAGACATGTTTCCCTGAAATGGTACACAGTACAGCAGCATCACATTTTTGAAGTCACACAATGTGTATTTTCTGTTTGGGCAATGTGAGAACTTGGGAAATGGGAGTTTGAGGGTGTAAGACAGAAGGAGTGAGACCAATGTGGCTGGGAGGAATGATAGGAGCTCTCATGAAGGAGGCTGGCTTCTGAAGCGTTCCCTACAATTTGAAAGCACAAAAAGAAGCTTTGCTTAGGCATAGGGCTTGCTGAGTATTATTTGACCTTTAGTTAAACTCTGCCACCATTCTCTGTTAGGGGCTGAGTGCTGTGTCCCTTTACAGTCAAGTTGAATTATGTGACTTTAGTGTGATGTATGGAGAAATTGCCTTTGGGACATTGCTAGGGTTGGATTAAGTCTTGAGGGTGGGGGCCTTCATATGAGGTTCGTAGTTTTATAGCAAGACATTAAAATCTTTCTCTCTCCTTCATCCACCTTTTCTCTCTGTGAAGAAGGCAGAGGTCTATAAGCCAAGAAGACAGACATTAATAGAAAGTAAGCACACTGGATCCTGATTTGAATTATAGCTTCTAGAACTGTGAGGAAATGAATTTTGTGGCTTAATCCAACTACTGTATAATATTTTTGTTGTGTCAGTCTGAGTGGATCAAGACACTGTCAAATGGTTAGATAAATCTTGAGGAATGTGTAAACCAAACACAGTATTTCTAAATATGGCAGCCACTCAGTAGAAATCAACCTCATGCAAAAATTTGACAAACATGGATTTATATCCGTTGCATCTCTCTCATTGTCCAGTTCCTTTTGTCTTATCTTTTCCATTGTAGATTCAATTCACTCTACATACTTGCTAATGTTGGATTTTTCAGTATGAAAGGGTTGTTTTAGACACTAGACCTGCTAAGTCTAACTACCCAGTCCCCTCCTAACCCTCACAGGAGAGGCTTTGCTGCCCACCCACGGGGATTAGATGTTGAAGGGGTGACTTTTATTTTGAATCAAAATGATGATGAGAATTGAACCATTTCTTTGTTGGAACTAATTATGGGAGACTCTTTCTCTACCTTGAAAACTCAGTGATCAGTGAGTTTCATATTCTGGTGACCCCCACTCTTCTTAGCCCTAGAGAAACAAAGATGTGGAAGATTGCTGATAAGGTTGGGGAGATGAGACATCAACAATGATAGTTATGAAATGGCATTTCATTGTGTGGAGATCATAAATGTGCTCCCACTGTATCTTTCCTTCCATGAATTAAAAAAAAGTGACTGGATGTCAGAATCTAAAGAGTGAGAAAAACAGAACTTCAGTGGAAATGTCTATTGCCTCCTGTGATAAGTTACTTCTGGCAGGTTGACATGGCTGATTGATCATGGCTTCAGAATGACCTTCTTCTTGCCTGGAAACTTAACCTTCAGAGTTTGGTAGCAACAAAGATTGACTTTGTGCTTCTCATAGTATAGTCGGAGTAATTCAGAGAGGAGAATTACAAATCTCACCCCATTGTGCTGGTAAGGAAACTGATTTAGAAACCTGTTTGCAGAAAGCCATTTTAACTGTATTATGGTCCAAAATTGGACACCCTTTTGGAGACAGGAGGAAATTTGATCCCTTTGTCAATGACAGGAGAGGGTTCATTGCCCACACAATAGAAGCTTGTATGAGGTAGGTGATTCCTCAAAATTTCTCAGAAGTTATAAAGCAAACAGAATCAACTCTGGGGTAATGTAATTGTGAGGAAACTCAAGACCATGTGCAATGCAGACCTCTGCCTTCAGCAAAGAGACTGACTTGACCATTACAAAAATACACCTTTCCTCTGATGGCTCTAATAAGACAGCTTCCAATATTGTGTAGGTCAAGTCATCTACCAAGGGGCTGCAGAAAGCCTTCAGAGGCTATCTGGTTGACCACCCCAACTCTCAGTGGGGCTACCCATTTATCTTTCCACAATTGAAGCCTGGTTTCTTTTTGTGTATCCTCAGTGTGGAAAAGACAAATAACCTTTTCTATATTATAAATCCATTTGACCAGAAGGCAATTCAGAAAGCAGCTTCGTTGTGTTATCTTTTTTTTTCATGCTGAGGAGGAGTCTTAAATTCTGCTAGCTTTCTTCTCAGGGGTCCTGCATTTTACCTCATAATTCACTATTATTAGCTGGAGCCTCCCAATATCTTTCCACAGTTTTTGGTTGGGCCTAACCAGAGACAATCATGATGAATGAGTCTCCACAATGAATGTAAGCATTGCTGGCCCACAAGGCTCCCTGTCTAAGTAGATTGTGTAGGCCTGGAGCTCCCTAAATCATTAAACTTACTCATTATCCCTGTCTCCCAAAGCAACCTGTGTTGCAATGCATAAGGAAGCAAATGATAAGGAAGCATATGGTTCCTGAGGATCTGTGTGGCCGAGGAGCTTTCTTTTAACCGACTGAGGGTAAGTGGTTGGAGGAGAAATCATGGGTCCTTTCCAAAATTAATAACACAAAGCTAGCAGGTAAAAGGGAATTGTGTTTGCCAAAGTAAGATATGGGGCTGGCTGCAGTAGAGAAGAACTGTGGATATTAGGTTGTAGAATGAAGGCTTTCTAAGACTAGAAGCGGAGGTGTGGTAAAAGTAGGTTCTCCTTTTTTCCGGGCTTCAATCAGAGTTGAATATGATATCTGCACCTTTCTGTGTTTCCTTATATAAGCCCAGCTATGCTGAAACAGATCTCAATGATACTGGGGACATTCAGTGTTTACCTAATATATACCTTCGAGGACAATATTATTTGTCACAGGCAAAATCATCTCCTTCTCTGGAGTTGCCAAGATGATAAATTTCCTGGCTGAGAGGTTGATGACTCTCTGTCGAGTTCTACAGTAAAACCCAAGAGACAGCCGGAATTTATCTTTCCTTTAATTTCAGAACATCTTACTCCAAAGGGTTGACTTTGGTCTTTTAAGTCAGCAGTGTCAAGAAATGAAGGAGAAGCTGCAGATGAAACTGGCAGACAAAGAGTACCCTTGAACCTTAAACCAACTGAGTTTGCATACAGCGTGAGGTTAGTGGTGAGTATTAGGGACTCTCCTAATTTTGTATAGGAGCCCAGATTCACCCATTTAGTAGGTGTATGACCTTGAGCAAACAGAGGCATTCCAGTTTCTGTTCTCCATGTCTTTCATGTGGAGGTTGTAATAAAATCTATCTCATATGGTTGTGATAGGTTAGATTAAAAAAAGGGTTTTAGTCTGATGCCCAATATCATCAAAAGAATAGATGACATGGTTTATTCTGAAGACATAATTTTAAGTGACCATGGCCTAGAAACATATATTCAGATTTCCCCAAATATAATGTTCTAGTAAGGAAGATGACTCATGAAACCGTTGCACTAATGGAACAAAGGAAGTTATAAGTCCAGGCATTCTAAGAATACATTGGTGGAACAATCAGCGAGGCAAGTTACAGAGCAAGTTGGGGGACTGACGACACATAGCTTTGGGGTTGGTTGGAACTGGTGGTCTGCTAAGCTAATAAATTCTTAAGAGTATTTTTTTTCTGTTAATCGAAGGATGTTGGGTTTGACACAGAGGTGTGTAAGGAAGGGGTATTTAGGAGGCCAGAACTAGTCCAAGGTTCATGTATAATTAGACTCTGGACTGGAAACAGTCCAACCTTGCCAAATCACTGCAGCTGTAACCTGTCAATTAGTCTTTCCTTACAGAGCTTCTTTCTAGGAATCCTCACCCATATTAGAATATGGTAAGCGCCCTATCTGATGCTGGCTGTGCCACTAACACATTCAAAACGGCCTCCAGGAAGCAATGCAATCCCACGGTAATGCTTCTCATTCCTGACTGCTGGACATGGCTCTTAAAAATAACTTAGAATGTGGCAACACAAATCTCACAGACACAGGTAGACAATGACTTGGAGCTGGATTTCTGAACCAGGCCAGTATCTGATATTAAAGTTTCCCTGAAGTTATATTGAAGTCTTATTACTATATATTGCTTTGAAAACAGAAGCTGAGACAATTGTCCTCAAAGCACCCCAGGCATTGATGATTGGTCCAAATGGTCTTCTCATTTTCTGATAGAATCATTTCTTTTGATGACTTGAGGCAAAGGGTTGATTCTTCTGTTAACTAGTGCTTTGTTTTTTCTTCATTTTCTGATAGATACCAATGGGGGTGAAAAATTCAAATTTCACTGCGGCTATGGATACAATGCTCTGTAAATGAAGTCCTTATAATTACAAATGATGACAAGAAAAATAAGTAATATTGCATTTAATATGCACACATCAAAACAGTGTCTCATGTAATGAAAGCAGGGCATAAGATAAGCTATTATATGGCTGAGTTAAAGATGAATATGTAAAAATTGAACATGGCTTTACATTCTTAACTATAAATTTTCTGTTAACTCAAAAAATTCTTATTCGTATTTTTATTTTTTTAAATTTTGTGTACTTAAACAAGTCCAAGCTGCAAAAATGACATCTGTGTTTGTATAAGACAACAGACATCATTTGAATTTATTAATATAAAGCATTTTACACCTACTAGAGATTCAAATAACCATTGCAGTAAGCAGATGGGAAATATAATAAATAATCTGTCTTTCAATGACATTTATATCTTTTTCTCACTCAGCAATGGGAACCTAAATAGGCAAATGGATTTTTTTATAGTTATATTCCCAAGAAACCTCCTTAGAAATGGCTCTTATCAGAGACTCATTTTAAATGTGGTGCATTGGATATCATCTAACCAAGTGATCTGCATTTTATGATGTAAAAGTTTTAAGCTCTTTGAGAAAAAAATACTTAATTTACAAGGGTGTTCAAATATAAATAAAAACCTAAAGTGTTTTCTGAAATGGAAAACATTTTAGTAAAACTGCTTCAACCTAAGGGCATTTAAATGTGGATTTTTTGCTTCCAACCACTTATTCTAATATACAAAGAAAATATCTAAGAATAGAAAAAATAAAGACATTTAAAATCTTCAGCTGGAAGGAGAGAAAGATCCCTGGTTTTCAGGTCTGTGGAATGGGATGTTTTAAGGACCTGTCATGAGCTGACATGTACTTGCTGGAAGGAGAACTTGAGAGACTCTGAAGGTCTGGGTCATCATGGTGGGACAGCACCAGGCATTGACCAGTTAACTCCCTCCCTCCTTCCCTGGGTCCTGCTTTTAGATCTAACTCCATTAAAATTAAGCCCATTCTCAAAACAAAGGCCCAACCATTCTGCCACTTCTGGAACACAGGCTCTGTTCTGGTCTGTTTGGGGTCCTTCTCCGACCAATGGCTGCAGTCCCAGCCACGGCTCCCTCCTCTTCCCTGGTCAGAGTTTTGGAGAAACATAGAAGAGAGGAAGTAGCTTTTCCTTTCTACCTGGTCCTTCAGTTGTAGAAGTGTGGGGCTCTGAGGCTTTCCTCGTGGGGCCATCTCTGATTTGCTGTGTTTGTTGGTTCCTGAGATTTCCAGAAGCTACTGGGGCCACCTGCTAGTTCTGTGTGCTGTTATGGATCTGGTGGTGTGTGTTATTGTGTAATCTGTTAGCTACTTGTATCTTGAAACTGAGAATCATGTCACATAGAATTATCACTATTTATTGAGAGAAGACAATGACCTAGAAGCAGCCTACTCTTGAGTTTTTGCCTTGTTGTTATTGAACACTGAACTTTAATTTATCAAATAATTGTTGGTGCTCCAATCACTGAGGTTATTAATATATTCCATTTTCAGAAACAAGTAACAAGTATTTATCTTGTGAGGTCTGGAAGTGGGACAGCAAACATGCTCAAGTGAGTCACATTTTTGCTGTCTTTACAAATGGCACAAGCTAAGAGTTTGCAGGGCCTTTTTTTTTTTTTAAAACTATGGTATAGAAGCAAGACAGTAAGTTGCTTTATAAATAAAAAAGTAAAGTTCTGAGGAGGTGGCTTAGCAAGCAAGAGCATGTGCTTTTATTGCAGAGGACCTGAGTTAAAATCCCAGGACCCAAGACAGATGGCTTACAACCACCTGCAACTCCAGCTTTTTGGGATCTGACAGTCTCTTCTGGTCTCCATATGTATTAGGAATCAGGCAATAAAGTGATTCATAGACATATATGCAGGTAAAATACCCGTACAGATAAAATAGAATTTGAAAAAATAGAATAAAATAATTGTAGATTTCTGCACCAGCGAATAGAAACAGCTTTTCATGTCTTCATTTACTTCCAAAATACTTTAAAATTTAAGAATATAAAGAGACCATGAAGCTAAGGAAGGTGGCCCACATTGGTAATTCCAACACTTGAGATGCAGAGACACTGAAAAATCAGGAATCCAAAGTCTCCATGACTATATATCAAATTTGAGGACTGCCTGGGTACCTGGACCCTTCTCTCAAATAAACAACCAAAAGAAAAGAGTTTCTCTAGTTATATGGAGGGTTCTTTGGAGCTAAAGAACCATTTAGTACTGGCAAGATTTTTTTAACATGGGTTAGAGTCTGTAAGCATTTGAAATCTTTCTGTGAGATCTTTCAAGATGTGACAGATTTTTCCCCCCCAAGTGGGTGTGAGCTGCTTAAATTTATTCCCATTCTCTTCAAATTCTTCTGGCTCAAAGTGCTATTTGACAAAGTACATGAATTTCTCCAAAAGTGGTTTTATCTGAATGCTTGGGGATGATGATTACTTAAAATGTAAATCTTCCTAATTCTTATATTATGATGGCCCAAGCATACCCTACTGTCCCACCAAAGACTATCCCAATGAAAAAGACATTCTGGAAAAAGATTTCTAGATAATTTGCATTGTACAGATTTGAGGAGGGGCATTCCATGAAGAGTTATTTTAATACTTGTGACCCCTGCTCCCTGAGTTTATAGACAAACCCATGTGAAGAATCATCACCGAGAGCTTGGGACAATATATCACCCTGGAACCTTGGGCAGTAGACCCAACAACTTAGCCAGAATGTGTGGACAGTCACGATCCACACACCATTGTTTCATCCAGCTATCAGTGTAGACAGGTGTATATGAGTTTTCAAGATGTTATTTATTCAAAGTAGAAGGATGCATACATTTGACTGGGCTTCCCTTTGTGATGGGTAATGCAGTCACTGAATGTCCAGTTCAAATACTTGACTTTTGTTTTTCCCAGTCCTTTTCCCTTTCAAGATGATTCCAGGTATTTTGCATAAATGCCATTGGGTTGCAGGGATTATGAATCTTTGAATTCTTCTTTTGGAGACTTTTTTCCCCCAAATGGGGATTTAAAAAGAAGAAGAAGAAGAAGAAGAAGAAGAAGAAGAAGAAGAAGAAGAAGAAGAAGAAGAAGAAGAAGAAGAAGGAGGAGAAGTAAGAAAGAGGCAAAGTGGATATTGGAGAAGGATCTGTTTTCACCAGAAAGCTATGAATCAAGGGATTGCTCAGGACTCTGGTGGAGACGAGATTGGCTCTGGACATGGATCTCACGACAACTGTTCTAAGCTTCATAAAGTCACAATTTGAGTGGTCATGGAAAATAGAAAAAAAGGGACACAATAACTTCGTGAATTCATGGAGGGTGTGAGGGCTTTGGAGTTTAAAATAAGACTTCACCATTTACTTATCAAGTTATTTAACCTTTGTATACTTCAATTGCTTACAGGTAAAATGAAGAGCATGCTAGTTTACTCATGGTTTTGGTGGGAAGACTGAAAGCCATAGTGTGCATAGACACTTCATATAACATAATAAACAGAGTAAAGCGATTATACCAAGGAGCATTTAGTGAAGAAGGAATTGCAGATAGAAACTAAAAGCAGAGTGTCTGTGATGACTCATAAAATATGGATAAAACACCAAGATAATCTCATTATAAAGGGAGCTTGTGCTATCACTTTATTTTGGTGAAGGTAAAACTGTCCATTAAAATATTTGTGAGCTGTTTTATGAGTTCACCTAAGTTCACTGCCAGTGTTTATCCATTAGTACTATGCTGGTAGAGCTACATATCATAATTTGCACATGTTTTGAAATATAGATGCTTATTCATATATCTAAGCTTCTCACT